TCGCACACTTTTGTCGGGAGTATGGCATAACGCATATACGCTCGCCGCCGTTTCATCCACATTCGAACGGCCAAGCGGAACGCTTTGTTGACACTCTCAAACGGGCACTTCATCATTCCAGGTGTGAGGGACGAACGGAAGAGATTTTACAAAGGTTCCTGCTAGCGTATCGAGCGACGCCAAACCCCAACTCACCTGATGGAGTATCACCAGCAAAAGCACTGCTCTGAAGGGGGCTCCAAACACCGCATGACACTATCGGGCCCCAAACAAGCAGACTGGTCACCGCAACACCAGAATGGAGGAACAGTTCAACCGGCAACATGGAGCAACTGCACGCGCATTCAGCGAAGGCCAAAATGTGTTGGTTCGTGACTACAGCGGCAGACGCCCTACATGGAGCCCAGAACTCATCCCCCGTCGGCGCTGCAAAGTGCTCTACGAGATTCAGGTTTGTCCAGCCAAGTGAGTACGCACGCGAACCAAATCCGGCCCACAGATGCGCCGATCCTGCCCACAGGACCGAGTGATATGAGTCTAGAAAAGCTTCTGGACACTTTTGATCTCGGCACCATCCCAGAAAGTCAATCAGTCGCTTCGCCAGAGGCCCAGCTTGAGCACGGATTACAACCGCGACGCTGGACAGATAGGATCCGCAAGCCAGTGAGGCCACTGCATGTGAACCCCCGGCTTCGAAACTACGTCAACAAACTTCAAGCGGGAGGTGTTAGGCAGGAATCCACGCGGGTCCTACTAACCGCACGTCTTTAGGCGCTGCTACGGCCAAAAAGCCTGGCCCGCTCGAGGTTGGCCTAGAATTCGGGATGCTTGCCGGTCCGGCATCAAGGCGAGATCTGATTGGTCAACCATCTGGACCCAACTGCCAATCATGACCCAGTATTGGCCAAATGCCGGTTGCCAATGGCGCATCCAGAACGCGTCAGAAATTCCAGAAAATTATAATCGCCTACGCTATATATACGAAGCGCTGTACAACTGTTCTTGATTTCGTTTTGGGCGTTAATAGACCTTGTGCACCTTTGGTGGTGGCTTTGACGTGAACGCTAGCTTGGGAGGATCAGACCGAGAACTATGCTGAGGAAAATACCGTCATCACACCTAGAGCCAGTCGATCGTATCTCTTGGTATAGAGCACAGCTGTCTCTGGCAACAAAAGCCTTCTTCATCTCCCGAGCTTTCGATGTTCACCAGAGCTATTGGTCTTTTCTTGAGTCTTCAGTATGTGACGTTTGAGGGACTTGCGTACGCCGTCACACTCGTTGCCTGTGGGTATGGATTTCCCGGCATCCATCATGGATAGTGATCTCTTCGACATCCAGTGGTCTTGTGGTCGAATCGGAGAGGTCTGACAGACAGCACTGAATGCCGCTAAGACAGCTCCTTTCACATTTTGCCATGATTCATCCACATGCTGAGTCACCAAGGTATTGGCTCACTGTGGAGAGTTGTTCGACTCGCTCAGATAGATACTGTTGAGCTACGGTAGTTCCTCGAAGATATTGGATTGGCATGCTGCTTGATAATTCGCGAGGATGTCGACGAGATCACTATCCATGATAGATGCCGGGAAATCCATACCCACAGGCAACGAGTATGACGGCGCACGCAAATCCCTCAAGCGTCAAATACTGAAGACCCTAAGAAAAGACCAATAGCTCTGGTGAACATCGAAAGCTCGGGAGATGAAGAAGGCTTTTGCTGCCGGAGACAGCAGTACTCTGTACCAAGCGATACGATCGACTGGCTCTAGGAAGGCAGCGGTCAGTGGAACGATGAGTCAAAAAGGCGAATTATTAATTCACTCGCAAAATCTTCGACTGGAAGGATGGGCCAAACACTTCGAAGAACAGTTTCACTTGCCTTCTGCAACACAGTCTATGGAGAAATTGCATATGGGCCAATGGAATGTAAACTTTAAACACCCTTTTGAAGAAGAAATAAAGTACGAACTGTCAGTACTAACACCTGGTAAGGCACCAGGATCGTACGGTCTATATCCAATCACTCTTCAAGGAAGGCGTGTAATCCCTGGTGATCCTTCTGACAATGCATATTGGTGCTATCTGGAACGAAACGGAGGTGCATGTCGACGGATATTTATATCTTCGAATAGGGTACGCGGACGCTGTATGAAAACCACCGTGGTATTAGCTCGTAAGCTGTTGCATCGAAGGCGCTCTCTGTTCTTGTCCTTCGATTGTTAACTGAACACGGGGAGAGAAATCAGTGAGAACTAAGCTGGTTTCCCTCCTGCAAGAGGATGCTTTAACCATTTGTTCACATTCCGACAGATTCTGGACCAGCGACACTGCTTCCAGCACCCAACAATGGTTGTTTCCTGATGCGAAAGCTCTCTGGACTGTCAGGCACAATGGTAGTCTCTATGGAGCAAAGGTACCCCCCCATAAAATCTTGACATTCCATATGGGGCTGTTCACCAACTCCCGCGGCCGTTTGAGGGTCTGCGAGAAGCTCTCTTTTGAGGTCACCACATCAAGGGGTGTCAGACAGGGTTGTCCTCTTTCACGTTTCCTCTTGAGCTTCGACATTGATACGATTATGGAAGACTCACCATCAACCTCTAATGCCTGTCCGATCGAAACGCTCCCGGGGTGTCTCCTCACAGATATCGAGTACGCAGACGACATAACTCTTTTGGCATCTGACCCCGTGGTAATTCAAACAGTATTAAGCAATCTAAATAATTCCGCCTCACGGTTTGGCACGCGCTTCACACCTGCAAAGTGCTACTGCAAGACTGGGTGGGCTCGAACCCTAGTCTCATGCTCTCGGATGAACCGATTAAAGTAGTAGGCGAATTCGTTTACTTGGGCAGCTATATCAGTCCCGGTGGTCCCGTGAAGGAGGATATTGGGAAGGTCAGAGCAGCTTTTGCAAACCTACGTCACCTGTGGCGTAAGCGTGACATCAGCTTATCCCTCAAGGGTCGAGTTTACAACGCCGAGGTGCGCTCGATATTGCTGTACGGATCAGAAACCTGGCCGCTGCCCACCGAGGACGTCAAAAGACTTTCAGTGTTTGACCGCCAATGTCTTCGGAGCGTTTCCTGAATCGGGTAGGATACCGGATAAGCAATTCTAGCGTACTTCGAATGGTATTTGGAAGAAACAACTCGCCCTCGATGGATGAACTGATCACGCAGCATCGGTTGCGCTGGCTTGGCCATGTACTGCGTGTGCCAGTTGACCGACTTCCTCGAAGGGTTCTTTTCGCACAATCAGGCGAAGAGTGGAAACAAGTCAGAGGCGGTCAAACAATGACTTGGCAGCGAAGTGTAGAGGTCATTACCAGATACTCAGCTGTGCTGGCCATTGGCGTCTTCCTGGATGGGGACGCGGAGACGGACCACATCAATGGTTATAGACATAATTCGACATGGCTCAGTCGCGCCCTCAATGGCCCTCGTGCATCCAAGCTCTTACCTTCAGTGCATAGCTTCCTTCCCAACTCCTTCACGTAACAGTCCACTGACTGTGCTGCATTTACGCACCAATTAATCAGCTCCCGCCTCCGATGCGAAGCTACCTACTCCACCTCCCCAAATCATCGGTGAACGAGACTGTGGCAGTTACAACCACTGCACGACAAGTTCGCGATTCTTACAGCTGACAATGGTGATGAGCTCCCCATCCCTGTTTCATTGCTTCCTTTTTTATTATAACGTTTCGTTAAAATACATTGACATGATTGCATGGCAGTGTTCTCATCCGGTGTTTTTCAGTGGTGATGATGATCATTACCCGCCATTTCATGCGGAATGCCACCGGCGCGCCGAAGCTTTTTGGCGCCACAGTGAGTAAGGCTGTCAGAGTGGAGTCTTTTATCGTATTCGTCACTGTATCTAATTAATGTATTACATTGATGTGAGCATTCCAGTTTCTCTATCTTACTGAAGGAAGGCATCGTACCTCATCGAGTTTTGGATATCTTGTGATTGGATTGCCCATTCGTTCCGTTCCAGCTGTATCCTGCTCACGGCCACTGTTGCTTATCTTAACGGTGCTTGGTAGGTTGTCTACCTAACAGCACAACACTTTTCGTTGGACTCCATATAACCAACCAGATTTCAGAAACCAGGAGACGCGTCCCTTCTAGGATCATGTCATCGGATAGACCGGTGGATTTGTACGTGGAGCTGAATTCTGACTGCAATGCAATAGGATCAACGGTTTGGGACTATTCAGGGCATCAAGTTACCTTTTCTGTTTATGGCCCGGATGAGGTGAAGTCACAAGATGAGCTTACGCATCGTGCCCGTGTGGATATTTTGGTTCTTCCTTCCGTCGGACAACACACGCTAAAAGAGACGGAACTGGAGGCCTTCTTAACTCCAATCGTCGAACGTCTTGTGGACGTCAAAGCATTCCCACGGTCCAAAGTAAGTCGACACCTGGCTTTATCCAAATTGACAGTACATCAGCCATATCTTATAAAGTCGGTAAAAACAGAAGGAATATCTGTTGGCTTGCGACATNGGTCCAAAGTAAGTCGACACCTGGCTTTATCCAAATTGACAGTACATCAGCCATATCTTATAAAGTCGGTAAAAACAGCAGGAATATCTGTTGGCTTGCGAATTTTCCTCTATGGGAAGCGTCAACTATTAGAAACCCTCGGCCAACAAGTTATCGTGCGGTGCACACGGTAGTCTTGTGCTCAGTGTGTTCTGATTACTTAAGCTGGATGGTCTTATCACTGAGAGGCGTTGTCCGACCATACAGACGGACTACTCTGTTCCCAAGTGAATCTATTTTTTGGGTATTCCAAGGGGGTAAGTCATAGTACGTACCCGGCGATAAAAGGACAAACAAACGGATTTGGGAATGAAACACCAATCAGCTTCCAGCAGAGAAGTTTATCCTCATCAACCCTATACACTTGCGTTTCACGTAAGTTTTTTCCACCAGCCGGTCACACTGTTCGCTGCATACATCTGGGCAGACAAGCAAAATCGTGCTGTCTCTTTTCGGTACTATATCAACGCTCTTTGTGAGTCACCTAATGATAACTCTTCTGCGACTCCCTGCTGTAGGCATTTATCAGTCAGTCACCCCGGGGAATTGACCACACACCGCCTAATTGTGCTGCTTCGCATCAATTGTTTGTGCTGTCGACAGGCGTTTGCAGCATTTCAAAACCTAGAATCCAGGATCTGGTCACAACAATCAAACTTAGTCGTTGCATCGCCCTCGACGGCTAACATTGGTGCTATAATTGGCGTTTAGTTGACTCTTAATTTCTATCAGTATCCGTTTCTGTGTCTCTGACTTGTCCATTTTCATATTGACTACTTTGTTGAAATATCACTCGCCCGTTGTATGTAGTTTTCATTCGCTTATCAACCAACCGTACCTCTGATGCTGCGGACGATACCTGTCATCTACTACTATCTTTTGCAACGCAGGGAGCTCAAATGTAGCCGAAATCGCCTATGATGCTAACGGTAAACCGTGACGCCTCTTTTTACATATCACACTACCAGGGGGGTGTATTTGTTTCACGTACGAAGCGTAATAATGATGCTTAACGTCCCGCATCTCAATTAGCTGTTGGCTAGTAGTCGGTTTGGACACGGTGGGTTGCGCTGCGTTTTCTGATTTCTGTCATTTTGTGAACAAACATAGCCAGACTCATCATTAACCCATTAGTTACTTAGATAATGTTCACCTCTTGACTGCAGGCCACTCCGAAGCTCATACTGACAACCTATGCTGCCATCCGTTTCTCGGATAGTTCCAAGGAACATGTTCTCCGTTACGCACTCAAGAAACTCTATGAACTAAAAATTGAGCAAAATTAATAAAGCCCGAATTCTGGGTGTTTAAGAGTGGCCTTATCAGAAGACCTGTCGTCACTGGCGTCCTGTTACCAGCGAGGACTTGCATCGATATTTCATTTATGTGTCCGCCCTGTCAACTGATTTCGTGATGGCCAGCTGCTATATTTTTAAGGCACTCAACTCTTTCAATTGGAAAATGTTTGGGACTGATTGGATAGTCATCGTTTCAAAGGGATTTCATAAGCAGTCGCTGGATTTATTGCTGCACAACGTTTCGCTTTTGACACAAAAGCTTTGTCAGGCCAAGTGAGTAATTAACCAGGTTGTTCGGGTCAGGTCATCGATCAGAATTGCTGCTTGATATGATCCGGTGTTCTTTGGAGTGTGCAAGTGACCTGAAGGGGTTGGTTTCGCCTTCTTGCAACCACCATCCAGATATTTATTATTACCATTGTACCCGTTGAGTTTTGAAACTTGAGCCGACTGAACCATAGGTACGCTATTATGTTAGTAAACTGAGTGATATTTCATCAGCTGGTCTGTACTAGAGGGAAATCTATTTGATATGCGTGTCTGCTCAATTGCTTAGTCAAATTCAAGTGGTGCACTCCAAAACGAACGCTAATCCTGTGTGCAAGCTTCCTAGCCTTAGCTAATTACCACATAATTCAACTGTGCCCAGATCAGTCAATCAATTTTTTTGCTAATAAACCATGTGGCAAAGATATGTTGTTTCCACCTGCTGCAGTTTCACGCACCGGAAAATGAGTGAACGGGGAGATAAAGTCAAGCTTTGGAGCTGGTGGAGGTTAGTTCGGGAGACAGGGCAACTACGCCTTGAACGCCGTAGCTTTGTTGATCCCATCTGTGCCAGTGTTGACCATCAGTGAGTTAAGTCCCGGAGTTCCCACCCAGGCAGGTGATAGTCGTCAACCCCACTGAGTTTACGGGTTATCGTTTTCATAACTCCTTGCCACGCCATACACCCTCCACCTCCGGTCGCTTCCGCTCGGTTAAGGGCTGATCGAAAAAGCTCTGCGAGGCACATGGTACGCTGGCGTGCAAAATACATGTCCTAACCAGCGTGAGTAAATCGTCCATCGGGGGACAGTTCCTTTTCCTAAATCCATCTAGCCTAACGCAGCATTACTAATCCGATGTCCCCATCAGACCTGACCAATGCTTCGGAGATACCGATAGTCATTTGACATCTTTGTGTGCCCTGTGCGCCTCGAGACCATATATCTGATCCATAAAGGAGTATTGATCGCCCCGCCGCAGTGTGAACTCTGCCCTTGGCAGACGAACTCATGTCAGGTCGGCGTCTAGCCTAAGCATTACTAATCCGATGTCCCCATCAGACTCAGACAATGCTTCGGAGACATCGATGGCCAAAAACTGACAACCTTCTTACGTCCTCTGTGCTTAGAGACCACGTTTCTGATTCAGAAAGCAGTATGGATTACACGGTTGTGGTGCTTAATCTGCTCTTTACAGACAAACTGACATCACGCTGACACCGTATCAGTGACAAAGTCGAGAAAATTCGAGAGGGTGCAGCCTCGTCGTACCCCACTTAACGTGGCAAACTCAGGCGAACGCTTACTGTATACTCGGATGCACCCAGAGGACTTCGCACGCAATGCCTTCGTAATGATACCATCAAAGTTTATGACGATAGACAGATGTAAAATCAATTTTCAGAACACGAAAAAGGACCGTTGTTAGACGTTTGTGGAAGTGGCGCTTTTCAAGAACATGTCTTAGCTTCAACGTATGTTCGGTGCATCCTCCGCCAGATAAAAGACCAGCTTGATTCATGCGAACTGTCTCAACCGATAAACTATTAACCTGGATAAAACAATGTCGGAGTGCAACTTAGATGCGACGGCAACCAAGCTGATGCCACGATGGCTTTCTACTAACAGTCTTCAACCTTTTTTGAAGACGGTGATGGTAGGGAGCTCCATTCCACTGGTATTCTATTTTCGCCCAAAATCATCTGCATCAGGGTCGTCAGACTGTTCACCTGTTTACTGGGATCTCCAGTGAAGCGCTTCCTTCGGGTTGAGTGTAATTCCCACACGGTAGATATCACGAGCTATTGCGTCATAATCTCCAGATGCCCGAAGATTGGAGTGTCGAACATCTCGTCCCTCCCTAAACGGTTCGAGATACACGACCGAGATTGGGCCTTGTTTCGGAAACACAGCGTACATCAACAGACAGGGGGAGAAAGGTTCCAGAAATAAATACTTGTTGCCCAATTTGACGGAGAGCGTGGATAGCAGATGTCTGGAGTTTAGTATGGGGTTATTTCGCATTATTTTCATGGGCGATAGTTTGCACATGGAACAATGTTTAGGGGACTTGTAGATCGGTTGACTGCAGTGTATCATTCGACGGGTGAGGAGGATCCGTGTGTGAGAGCCAGTGAACAGAGAACTGCAAGGGTAAATGATACTTCGCGATTGCTCAGGCCGTAAAGAATGGCTTGGTTAAGGTACTTTACTATGAGCCTTTGACTCAAAATTCTGACCCACGAGGCAGCGGGGTAGTGCAGGGTTTTGTTTGAGGACCTTCCCCCTAGCCCCTGACTCATAAGTCTGAACCGCAAGACAGCAGTTATTAGGGGGGACTGTTCCCGAAGCCAGTGACTCAGTAACCTGACCCGCTTGGTAGCAGCAGGCTGGATTGGCCCGACAGCTCAGGCAGTGAGGCCTAATTTGGTTACTCCTAGTACGTATCTTCGGTGCATAACCAGACTCTTGTTTAAAAAATTCGACTGCATTGACTAATGCACTGGTGTTAACGGTCGGAGTGTTCGGTTTTTAGGGCCGATCTTTTCTAACCCGTCCTTTCTCGGGGGAAGGTAGCACCGCCGCTTCCGTAAGTACGGACACGCTGCTCGCCTGAAGGTAACAGTTTTCTGCTTTCAGAGTCCTATTTCAGGGGATTGCTTCCAGGACGCCTTGTAGTACGCTTTCTTGTTGTCCTTCGGGCTGCTTCCCGTTGGCCTTCCTGACTTGATTGAATCTTGAGGAATTGAGTTCGCCAGTGCTACTCGTAACATCATTGCAGCACTGAAGCCTGACCACCGACAAACTGACTTATTTAAGTCGGGACTGAGTCCAGGTCTGGTTTTCGGTAGGTGACCTCCATGTAACACGGTATGAGCGCTTGTGATGAAAGTTTGTGTTGATTGAAAACAAATAACACTCGCTCTCCGTTATCTGTTTAACGGATCAACCGCCAACGCGAGGCTGTCTCCGGACATTCGTATCACGTACCCAAATCACGATACCTGTACTTCTTGCTGGCCGAAGCGACAGTGACAAATCTTGGTGGAAACTTTCTCATCTCCGTTTGTTGGAGTATATAGTGGCAGAATAAATCAGCGTAGTTTATCGTGTCGTGATGCGTTGATCCTGATCGAACCAGTCAACCGAAGTTTTCCAATAACTGGAATCCAGTCTAGTAAGGCACATTCACCCCTGGGGTTAAGCCCACCTCCCACACAGTGGATATCACGAGCCAGACACGTGAAGAGTAAATCGCGCGAAATCTGGCGAAAATCGTCCCGAACGGTTTGGTTGTGCGACCGAACTTGGGTCGAAGGAGGGAACAAGGTTTGAACAACAACCACCGGTTATCTAATTTAACGCAAAATGCGGACGATGTAAACAGCAATTTGAAACGGATTATTCTGAAATTCAGTGTGGGTTTGTCTTGATTTGTTTTACTGGGCGGAAGCTTAAATGCGGAGCGACGATTAGGTGATTGCTAGCTAAGTGGATGAGGAAGACATGGTTTAAGGACGTGTGATTGGGAGCCGTTGAGTGGTCCATTCACTGTATGGATTGGGAGCGAGTGGTCCATTCACTGTATGGTGTAGGATTCAAGGTTAAGTGCTGAGTGCTATTCTAAGGCATTAAGAAAACGAAAGAGGTGGTGACCACTTGCTAGTGGGGGCGAGATAGCTCGGTGGTTAGAGCGCAGATTTACTGACCAGAAGGTCCGTGGTCGAACCCGACCTCTGTCTCTCGACTTTCCCTGTGTAGGCTTGGGCAATTTGGCAGTATCCCAGCCATCGTGGTTCTTTTGGGTGGCACGGCAGTTAGGCACCGAAGCTGTAGTACAGCTAAACGGTTTTTGCCAGTGGATATCCGTTCCAGCGAGTGGAAATTGTTATATACCAGCTGTTATTAATAACGAGGAGGTTTGAGTTTTAATTTCCAGGGCTCAAGTAAGGTGCCAAAAAAGAGCGCACAAAATTTGTTCATGTCACTATAGCAAATTTTTGCCTGAGGACCAGTTTACACCAAGTGACCTCGTTCGTATGCGTTGTCCAGAAGTACGGATAAGGGTTCAATTACATTGTCAACATGCTAACTCATGGCTGATCTGTTGCAGCTCGCTTGTTTTCTTATCGTCTCCCTCATTCTCTTCACAAACGTTCTCTACTCTATAGATATCTGGTCGTCTTTGCATCTTATCCGGTGACGCTTCACATCCTCAAACAGTCGCCGCCGCTTTGAATGCGATCTCGCTGTCGCTGTTACAATCAGGGCTCCCACTCCGTGCCACCATCTCCGCCGTTTGCCTGGAAGTGGAATCCAAACGTAAGGTCCCCGCTTTTTATTTCGAGTTGCATCCCTAATGGCCGAATGGTTCTTCCAGGCGTCAGTTTTTAAAACCGAGTATTTCTGTTATTCGAAGGCTGTTTATTTTCAGCTAGGGCTGCTTGGAACTTTCTACCTGCTTGAAGTGTCCATTTCTGTTTTCCCGTAACTAGTCGCCAGAGTAAGGGGTAGCTACGTCAGTGCGACTTGAAATGGACATTTGTTGTGCAAGATCAGATTACTCATTTGGATTTCACCAAATGGGATAAGGTTGTACATACCGCGAAACCCTTTTACAGGTGTTCGACATTTTTCGTAAATTAATTAATTGAGGGGTGAAACATGTTGTTTTAATCTTAGACAAGAGCGGAGTACCTAATTTTTTCACATATTTGGTGCAAATGTACGTGAAGGGCGGTTCAATCCTCACATCTGCGGTCTGATATCGAGAGTCTGTTTTGCAAGTGGATTGCACGTGTCTAGTATACCATTTGCAATGGGCCTCAATATTACATCCATTCCTCTCCATTGCTCCACCATAATCTGTTGGGGGTCCGCTTTGTCGATGAAACCGCTTCAGCTTTACAGCTTACGTGTTTCCTTTTGTATGTGGTATGGGCACCTGACCTGTTTCTTGGTTATCCTTCTGAGTGTATTCTTGAGGATCAGTACGTCTGAAATATTTCAATAAGTTTACCGAGAGCTGGTTACTTTTTTTATCACTCGTTGCTTTTATTGAGTGCGTGAGTATTTCAACTTGTGAATTCATTTCCCAGAACGAACTGAATACGAATGTTGCAGACTGACAATTTATTGTACGGTGATTTTGAACGCTACAGCCAGTAAAATCGTTGTCTTTTGTGGGAACGTTTTCCAAGGAAGCATGATTTTGAGGTGTTATTCTTTGGTACAACCAGTTCGAGTGCCATGCCACCCGAAGGTTTAACGAGGGCTGGGATACTTCCAAGTTGCCCAAGGCCTAGACGGAAGTCGAGAGGCAGAAATTGGATTCGAACCACGAACCTTCCGGTCAGTAAATTTGCGCTCTAACCACTTGGGTCATCTGGCCCGCAGTTCGAGTGCACCCGTTGGCAATCAATTCAAGTGGAACAGAAGGTTGACTGAAACTGGGGGACTGTGCCTACCTGATAACTCCAAAAGGGGCGAAACTGGTTATGGCTTGCATGCCAACGACGAAGCTTGGCGAACAGATCGACTGCCACCTGATCAAATAGACCATCCGAGCTACAAAAAATGTAGGCGCATTGCCTGTAGATAACTTCGTTTAGCTGGGCAGTTTCAGTGGACCGACTGAAGAGAGATTACTTCTCATATCTGCAAGACCAGAGTCGCTTTCGTCAACCTCTGACATCTATGGTGCTCATGTCATGTCAGTTCATCTGTCCAGAGCGATGTATACCCCGTGGCGGTGCGATTCCTTCTGCACTGTGGGTCGTGAACGTGGCCTCTACGCGCATGGGATTACAAAAGCTTTCACTGTTCCACCATCGATGTCTTCGAAGCACTAGCTGGGTCTGGATGGATTAGCAATACTGAGTTACGTCAGATGGTTTTTGGAAATAGAAATTCTCCCGCGATGGATGAGCAACTCATGGGTTACGCTGATTGAGACATGTCGAAGCATGCTTCGCAGAGTTCATAATGCCAGCCGTGTACAGTGTGGTGTAGGTCGAAGTTGGACAGTCCATGGTTTGGCATCGAAACATGCAAACACTACCCAGTAGATTCAGTTGGATGTGAAACTAAAGGATTAATCCATCATTGGTTATTGACACTGACACTGGTAGACATGGCGCTCATGCATCAAAACTGTCGCCCTCAATGCTCAACTACCAATTCTTCCGTTCCCTCCGCCTAGTATGCAACGCGAACCAACTGATCTTGCCCCCGCTTGGTTACATATCTTACTGGATTAATCCTCATTGGTTATTGACACTGACACTGGTAGACATGGCGCTCATGCATCAAAACTGTCGCCCTCAATGCTCAACTACCAATTCTTCCGTTCCCTCCGCCTAGTATGCAACGCGAACCAACTGATCTTGCCCCCGCTTGGTTACATATCTTACTTACCTCCATTTTTCGCTGCCCGAAACTGTAGCAGCTGGAACAACTGAACTCAACTCAGTTGAGCTGAACTGAACACAGCCTATTAATTGTCCACTGAACCACGTGTTTGCTATTTCACCTCTCAGTGCTGCACACCTCCCCAGTATTCCTCCATCATTGTTCGTCGGTCCGATCCAAGGGAACTCACTAGCTTGTTCCAGCCTTCCTAATGGTGGTCTACATGTATGTGCAAATATGATAAAGTATGATATATGATCGTAGAATTTGTTTTCCTCATTCACCCATGGCCTTTTTTGGATAAATGTTGTAACCTTTTACTCTCGACAGCCATGATCGCTGAGTTGATGTGGTTTGGTTCATTCATTACTCTCCGGTTCCTCTGATCCGTAACGGCGAATTCGATGGCGTGTTCACTTTGGCTTTCGTATATTGCTTCCATGTAATGGAAATTATAATCAGAGGCAGCCTCTAATAGCTTCCTTTGGTCAACCAGTCGGTGTCCACTGCGCACGATGTGTTTCAATTCTTTTTCAACGAAATCAGTTCGTTTTTGATGCCTTTCCTCCCAGGCATCCACACATCCATAGATCTAAGACGCAGAACACTAATCTTGCTTCATTCCTTGATAGTACGAGGAACTGAAGCATTTAAATAAGCGCTTATTACGCCTACTATTCCGCCCCACAAGTTGTTCGGGGTAGAAAGCGCAGAGAGTAAAGCGTGCAAGTCTGACTCCTAAGGATAGGTCGCTCAGCAACTGTCTTTTGAGCGGCACCGAATCTCTTGCTTTTAAAAGAATTTCAACCGTCTTTTTCAAGATCTATTATTTGACGGCAAATGGTTCATATTTTAAGGGTGAAATTTTCTAACTAGTCCTTCCCCGAGGAAGATACCGTGGTTGCTGGTTATCTGGATGCAACATTTTACTGTCCCCAGATTTTTATCACCGCCTGCCACCTCGTCATATAGTTTGCTGTAGTTCGCGGACTCACTAACCTTAACTGGACTGCTACTTTCTGATCTGGTTGAACTCCAGCACTAAGTTCCGAACACTATAGCCCACAGGACAATTGCTACCCTGAAGTCCGACCACCATGACACAATGGCAGCTATAGCTTTTTAATTCTGTCGTATGGAGTGACGGTTAGTTCGCCAGCTGCTTGAGGTAATCCGCCCCTGGATTCCTCTTCATCCCACGGTCCCTGCTTGACTGTCTATTAGGCACTAAATGCTGTTGAAGCTAGATGGTCCTGTCGAAATCTCTGTCACGTTCTAACATTAAATCGCTCTCCACATTTGTATTTATTTTTCACGGCGAAACAAACCTCAAATGACCCATTGCTGTTTTTGTACTGTAACAGCGTCTGAAGGAAGTTCATTTCGTAATTGTACACACCGTATAGCTGCAACCAGGCCAAGGTTGAATTCATTTCCATCAGTACTTTTCGCGGATTTGAAGGGAAACTCCAAAGGCTCGTTTTATGTTCACCCAATCCACTGCCCGTGTATACAAGCACACACTCACACAAATGGTTCGTTGTTTTAACTGTTTTGTTTACCTATTCCCTCTCACCAGTAATAACGGTGGCCGTGGATGTTACGCATCCCAGACTGTCGGGTTCCTCAGCACTGGACCATTTTCCGGCTGTGTTCGCCATTTTCACCGGATCTTCCGCTCCAACGTCACACGCCACTGGCGAACCAGGCTTCACATTCCTCAATCTTCTGAACATACTCGCTCTTCCTGTCGGTGGGGCATCCGAACTTGCTGCCCACCCCCTGTACAGTCGAGCCCTTGATTTGGCTAACGTGATGGTTACGCAACTTGGCTCTGTTCATCATATTCGAAATTGATCGAATAAACATTGCACACTCCTGCCTGTTTCATAATGCTTAGAAATACGTTTAGAGAGGTAGTCCACGGGTAGTCAAGTTCGACGAAGTTTTTCCAGCTTCCTCATAAATAAGTCACCACACCGATGTGAAATGCGGGGCCGCTTTTTGATAGCCTCGTCTTCGTTGAACGCTTCACGCCATCCGCTGACCTTCATTTGGAGCCCCAACTGCCATTTCAGCCCCCATTAGCTGACATCGGCTCAATAGACCTGAGTTCCACGATGTGTTTGACTTGCCAACAGGTAGCTGGTCGGCTGGGTTTGCCGGATCACCGCGACAATGCGGTCGGGTGATGGCCGTTCGACTACATCGGCGGATTCTGATTCTGTAGCACTGGCAGATGATAACATAATTCACTAGTTTATCGGATAGACCTTATCACCGTGGTGTGCGGATACGAGTTATGACTGCCAGTGCATCAAAACTGGAGCTTCTAGTATTTGGTTGGCGCGTGCGATGCCTGTATACAAAGAGCATAAAACGTTCTGATCCCGATGGATTTTTGCGCGGTTGATGAATAAACCTAATTCGAATTCGAAGTTATGTTTCTTGTGGTAGACACTGGTTCGGCATAAACACCCAAAACGGAACTCGTCGTTTATAAATGACTGTCCACAACAGTTCAGGAAAGTTCAGACGCTAGTTGATGTAGTTTCTGAAGTACCGTACTTGGCAGCTACGAAAACACTATCCGCATGTGTGCGGAATTGCACTTTGACAATGTTCATTCGGTGCGGTTGATTCTGAATTCTGGTAGCATTAATTCTATTGTCAGTCGAGAAGCACTGGAGCAAAAGTCTAAGCAATTAATGTCACAGTCCTGGCGATTCTTCATCCATAAGCGGACTAGGCGGAATTCAACTGCGTTGGAAACAACCTTAACACCTTATTAACCTTTTATATCGGGTCAGACTCTGCGCATGAGTGTGGTGGCCTTAACCGAACTCTTTTTCAACCTACGGTAATTGACCTTGAAACGGTGCATATAGAATTCTGCATACCAGTGCGCGTATACCTTTGCTTGTACGACATGCGGATTAATATTGAATTCTTCTGTTGTGTGACTCACTCACATACAGCGCAGGAGATTGTACTTTGATATCGCGGGCTGCAAATCTTAATCTGCATAGCAGACCGCAGGCTACCTCGAGTGTATTGCTCTCGATTTGCCTCTCACTGAGAAGAATATTTTTGAGTGTTTTTGCGAAAACCGCCTGGTCTGATGCATAGAAGTTCACTTTTTCGGACAAGTCCGTGGAACAAAAATATGATGACATCAAACAACTGCTATTGGTTCATTTGTAAATAATTACACTCCCAGTACATAGCCGCTACGTCACCAGAAGGAAGTACAGGGGCTGGGATACCTCTATGTTGCTCAAGTCTAGGCAAGAGCAGTCGAAATGCTGTGGTTCGATTTTAACCGCGCCTCAACCCCAGGGCTATCTCGAGCTTTTGATTTATTTCTGACTCGCAAATTCTGAAATAATATGACAAGCAAACTCTCACCAATCCCTTTGACAATAGAAAAAGAATGTTATGGAGTTTATTCTACGATTTCCAACTCACTCCACTCACTCTTACTTGCCGGGCCAACTTCTAGATCCTTTTATTGTGGGAATCAGGCGGCTCGCTGCTTCAACAGAGACATTTTTTACGTTTGTCAGCAGTACCAACAAGCTATTCCTAATCGTTTTCATCAATGGCGTGGATACATCCGGTCCATTGTTTTGTAAACCTCTCTTCATGATCGCACGACATCGTTCTTTTTCATCCGTCAATTCCAAGCTTGATTCAGTTTTCAATCGAATATGATAAAATGTATATCTCCAGATAAATATCTTTGAAACCGGTACGTTCTTTGGTCAACTGAACTCTCGTAACAACTGTTGGTTAAAGTACGCATGTGTCATAAATTTGGCAGAGTTCACACAATACCTGCTAGCTCGAGAGCTTATCATTCATATGAATTGCGAAGAAATTCAAAACGAGAATCGTTATCGCAGAAAGCAAACATGGACATTTTAACTTCAAGGGTCCTTGTGTGCAAGTAACAATTAACAGTCACCCGAATTTTCAACCGGGAAATGTAGATTACACGCTATTGCATTTCATCACTCAGTCAATAACCAAAACATAAATGCGCACGGTAATGATGCCAAAGTTTAGCAAAAAGGCAGTTGCTCGAATCCATTCTTACTTACCCAATCTGTACCGTAGACGCAGTTTGGTAGTATCTTAGTGGTCGTGTTCAGACTGAGCATCCCATAACCTATATGAGACCACTCTCGGTAGAAACGGCTGTCGTCAAAAGACCGTGTATATGTCATTGGATGCTTATGGCTCTCAGTTAAGTGAACCGTGCTAAGCAACGGAAATGTATTCAAGGACAACTTAACCCGTGCTATATAGCAGTCAACCTACACTGTCTGTAAAAGCATCCTCATCTTAGGCTAACAGTCAGTCGTTGATGATTGGCTTCGTGAATTAACACCTGCTGTAAGTTTCTCGCTTACCTGGGTACAAGACAGGGAAACTAAGAGCCTTACATGATCCACTTCAAGTCATTGACCAACCGGCAGCTTGAATAATGAAGTTTGTGTTATCTGAAACGGAGCTGCATGATCCACTTCAAGTCATTGAGCAATGAAGTTTGTGTTATCTGAAACGGAGCGCCAAATGGGAGACGCTTCAGCGAGTAACATCGAAATCGAAGCAACGGAAGTTAACGTCTTCTGAGAACATGTATCACGGGTTGATACACAGGGTCGGGGCTTTCGCCCAAGTCTCCTGGGTCGGGAGATTTATCGGGGAGTTTTATCGCTCACTGTATCGTTTATGCTGACAAAGCCAAACGCATTTTTCAACTTCTAAGTGCAACTTCGTAATTCAGGATTTCACACCTACCTCCACCAAACTTCAGAGGGAACCGGGGTAAATAAACAATAATATGTAAATTGTGGTTGTTAACCCGTAAACATCCATATCGTTTTTTAATCGGTACAACGGGAGTGTCAGGTTTGTCAAGTCCACTTTATTTATAGTATGCGTGATTGATATTACATTACTGGAACACACGACGCCGGGCTCTCATCTCCCTGTTATTCAGTTAGTGGAAATATTCAAGCCCCGCTATTTTCGGCTCGCCACATCATACTTCGTGTAACAAGTTATTGGTGTTGCGAGGTTCGCTTATACTCAACAGGCCTGTCCATTAAGACATGGTTAAATGGTTGCCATCGGCCTGACTACGGTCACAATAACGCAGTGAGTTGCGATGAACACCACCGGAAATAGATAGAAGTTTAATCGCTTGGAGTTACACTGGAAGCGTCTTATTCCATACGGCCTTATTGAGTGCCACCAGTGTCCTCGCCCTACAGCTGCATGTGATTCTGACTTGACCTCACTCCCATATGTAGAAAAAGTGCTGGACGAGAACTGGACAATAGCTACGGTCAGTGGAGCCCAAGGCCCCCAAAACGAGTTCTTTAAAAGGTGCCTAAATATTGATAGCTCGGGTGGGTTTGTCGGTTGTTGATTAGGTGGCTGTTGATCTGTTCTTCGAGCTTCAGAATTCACTTGCAAACTTTCCGTCACCTTATGAGGAGACGTCATTAGTGCGCAGTTCAGTGGGCACTTGCTGTTTGCATGCATGCGTTTATAAAATATTTAAAGGGTATCTGTTATCTCCTTACGTGATTAGTTAGTTGGGTGACCGCGTTTTTTGTGAATCTATTCGTCCGTTCGTGATTTTGTTGCGTTTTGGTTTTCATTCTTTCAGGTCGATTGCTCGTCCCAAAGCCCTATACTTTTAGTAGTTTCCTCTGTTTTCATTGACCACATGAAGTCTGAAAAAGGAAAATCAGACCACAACGCAATGCAAATCGAGGAGGAGGCCAACCAAACCAGGGAAGGAAGATACTAAAAATAGGAGGCTTCGGGATAAACAATAAACGATAGGTTCACCAAAAGATGAACAAATTTTTGTTCAATAGCATTTCAACGTATTGCTAAATTCTAGTGGTCGCCTTCATCCCGAACTTGCTCTGTCGTATTTAATACCGTTAACGAATGATTCTTGATCCTTGATAGTCGGCAAAGGCTAGACCTTGAGAAAAGTGTAAGGGTAACCAGTATTCAGAAAGTTGGCTAAATTATACTTACAATAGAGGCGAAGTTTGCCGTAATTATCTTGGGTGACTTAACCGCAATCGCAACGGTAGAATGCAGGAACATGTTCACTCTCTCTGTTACCAATGCAGCCTCGACATTTGTAATAACTGCGCATTTGAACGCCAGTACGCTGAAGTCCGAAATCAGTGGTAGCAAGTGAATTCAACCCAAGAATAACAGTAGTCCACAGCCCAAATTTAAAGGTGTCTTCACGATGCTTCCCCACGGTACCAGTAACCCTAAATATGAACTTCATACTAGGCACTATCCTAACAGCGGCACTAGCTCGAATGTTACAAACAAAGTTAGTTACAGCGGCAAATATGAATTACTCCACACAGAATAGGGTGAGTAGCCGGCTGCTAGACGCACACCCAAAATTTTTGAAATTTGATCTACTCAATCCCGACGATATTCAAGGCTCGCGATATTCATATTTTAATGGCTGCTATGGCTGAGCACGCGAATGTGGAGTGGAGTTTCGTGAAGAATTTAGCTCGTCAAAGTTTTTTCTCGTTCAGTGCATTTCAAGTCGCTTTGAAAGAGTACCAGGCAAAATATTACGTTGTTTTCGTCCGTATAGACTCCAAAAAGAGCAGCAATTTGCTACTTTTGTATGAAAAAGCCTCCTACCGTTGCAGCAGACATCCCTGCAGACGAAGCAGAAGCCGTGGAATTCGTGGCACCTAGCAATTTAATGGTTGACTGTGTATACGTTGTAGCACACGTCGTACCGATTGTCCGGCAAGGTTCCACGTGCGCCGGTACCGTGACTGCTTGAG